TTTTTGTATTAACTAGCGTCATTTGGTTGGTTGAGACTTTTATATTTGGCTAAAATTGTAATACATTGGTTTTATTTTAAGAGAGAATCAATGCAACGGTCTTTATGTCAACTTTTCAAATTTTCAAATGGAACTATTGTGAATTGTCCGTGTAAATAGGATTGACCCTGATGAAAACGTGAGTATTAGTACAGGGACTGTGTTAAAAGTAGGTATAAATTAAAGGGACTAAAAGCTTTAATATGATTGAAGAATAAATAGATTGTTTTTTCTATTAAAATTTGAAAACAAGTTGTAAATTTATCACAATAAAATTATAAAATTAAAAATCAAACTTACAAATGCCTAAAGTTTGAGATTTAGAATTTAAGTTGAATTAATTAATCCTTTTAAAATCTCTTTCTCATTCTCCCATAACTTAAAGGCTCACTCTTGTTGTGCTTCTCCTTGCTTCCTTTCACTAGCTAAAAAGGATTTATCATATCTCACCAACATAGAATATTATTTCCAAAATATAAACATACATACAAATAAATATTCAAGACATATTAAGAGAAAATGACTTTTCAATGTATAAAAGAATAATCAATGTTATCTTCAGCCAAAACTAACTTATCCAACACAACTGTGAGAGCCAAATCCATCACCACCATCCAATCAATTAATCCACATAATTTATAATTGATTTTCATCAATAAAAATCACAATCAATTTATTGGGACAATGCAAAAGTTAATTATAAAACCAAATTTCCCAATATTTAACTCTCATGACACCACCTTACTTACTCATCCAAAATCTCCCAATTTCTTATTCCTTTAACTCAACAAAACCTACAATTATCATTGGATTGCCCCATTTTACACCGAATTCCTAAATTCTTGACTGTAAGTCTAACACCCAATTTACCCAATTCATAAAATTCAACAATAATCAATATTCTAAACCGATTAAATTCAAATCAAACATCTACTAATAATTTCTAAACCATAAAATCATAGCTTAATTGGTGTATATGTCATTAATCACCTTGATTCTTAATAACCACCCAAACCATCACTTCAATAATCTCAAATCATAAAGTGGGAGGAATATCAAATTGATTAAACATTTAGCCTAATCCCATTTACTCATTTAAACTCAAAACACTGGTAAAATCACCCCCAACTTTGAACCAAATATGAACCCTAATCTCCCAACACATCCAATTCTGAAAATCATAGGGTTGGATGGTGGAAAAACAAGTTAAAATCCTTACCTTAGTGATTAGGAAGTTAATTTCAACGATGTGTATTTATCATTTTACAAGGCTAATCCATGTCAATACAAGAAGTACCAAATTTAAATACACATCAACACATAGATTAACAAAATTACGTGCATCTTAATGAAATTAATTTTATTAGTTTTAGTTCATGAACCTTATGAACATTTTTAAAATTAAAGGAACTTAGGTTGCAAACAGATCAATAAAAGAAATTAAAAACAACAAAATAAAACTATAGAAATAAAAAACAATACGCAATCAAAGTATAACACCTAATATTATAGTTTTGCAAGTATAATCTGATAGAGGAGCGAATCATGTGGCCCAATCTGTAACTAAGTCCAAGCCCCAAGTGAAGTCCAAGTCTACACCGTCAATTGATATTGTGATATAGCAATTGACTAACTGTGCACGTGATATTGTTATGAAGTTATACCTGTATTATTTCAGTTTATTTTATTATGCCTTGCTGTCAGTTGTTAATTGGTGAACACATCTTGTAATCTAGCCTGTATATATATTTATATATATATCAAAGTCTCTCATCTCTGAAGCCATTCAATTCAGAAAGTGAAATTCAGCTTTATACTTCCTGTCTTTTTCTTTCTGTTCAAGCTTAGTATCAGAGCAGCATCGGTGATGGCGACCTCTCATTCTACTCAGCTGGTTAGCACCTCCGGCAGTCCTTCTACAGTTGTGATGGTCAGTCCTCAAGTTCCGACAGTGACGACCAAAGTCACTACGCTCCTTAGTAGCTTGAGTCAAGCAGGTGGGGTCAAGCTGGATCGCACGAATTATATCCTTTCACGCGTTCTCTTTATTGTTAGAGGACACATACTGGATGGTTACTTGCTTGAATTAAAGCAATGTCCTGATGAATATACAATGATAAATGAACAAGTATAAGTCAATTCAGATTATGAAGATGGGATGGCAACTGATCAGCTGTTATATGACTGGCTTCTCGAATTCATGAATACTGATGTAAGTACTCATTTACCTCATTGCCCAGCTGCAGCCGGACTCTAGATTGGAGTTCAGCAACTCATAGGTACACAAGTGATATCATATTCAAAGGAGATTTGCAGCAAGCTCGAAAAAGAAGTCTGAGCATGGAGAAACATATTAATAAGATGAAGCTTTTATTTGATGATCGGGCTTTATTCGGAAGCCCGATCTCCACAGCCTTATTGAAATGTATAATTTTATTTAAATTTATTTCATAAATTAGTTTCATCTATTCATTCTTAATATTTTTATCAAAATAAAAAAAATTTAAAATTTATTAACCCTATTTAAAAAATTATCAAGTTTATATCTTAATAATTGTTATGTTCATGATAAAAATAAACATAACAATTTTATTAAGATGCCTTGTTAATACGATCAAAACAATACTCTCCCTTCCCTGTCAATACGACGAGACGAGAAACGTAATCATAACGACTGTAGTAGTAATGCAGGTGAGTGAGTCCTAATTCCTATAATCAGGGACTGATCAGAACGGGAGGTGGAAAGCTAAAAATTAACAGAAACAGGGCATTCAAAGCCACACCAGCGTACCATGCAGCAGAGGCGAATGGGCGACGAGGTTCAAACGGTGACGGTGAGCTGACGACGTTTGACGACACTGGGCAGTTGCTATTTGATTTCGTTAACAGCCCATTGGTGATTAAGTGAATGATGTTGAACTTATAAAATTACTATGGTATGTATGATTCTTAATTCTTTAAAACCCTGGCCTCTTAAGCTATTTCTGTGTGATAGTCAACTTATGGCATATCCGCCGGTCAGGCAAATCTTTTGTGAAAGTGGCCGGCAGAACATTGATAAACTTGTGAATGATTCCTTGCTGGTCAGATTGGGGCTTCAATTAGAGAGCACGGGAAACCAAATCATTGTGCATTATAATTCGTATTTATTATTTTATTTTTTAATGTATGATGTATTGACACCCACACATTCATAGCTTAATGCAGCTTTCCTTTTCTTTTTTTTTTGGGTAAAAAGGAAAATATGTTAACAAATATAAAGAAAATGTAGCTTCAAGGATAACGCAGCTTTCCTTTTGAAGAGATGAATTTTGGTATACTTCATCTGACTAGACTGACATTGTATTGAGCATGATAGTAATTAATACCATCTCTGCAAGTATTTTTCCTTTTTCATGCTTCCCTTCACGCTCCCATGTGGAGGAGTCAGGGATGAATTATTATAGTTTCTTAAGAATTAAGATTGACTAGCCAAATGGAGATAATTATAGAGACTGATTTATATGTCTTTCAAGTATAAGGACCTATTTGATTAAAGGCATGCATTATAGGAACCAATTAATTGATTTTCCCTACAAACTATCAATAGGATGTCTACATACTTAACCACAATTATAATAACCATAGTTATGACAATGGTTTAACCAATATTTAACAAAATTGTTCTAAGGACATTGGCTAGGAGTTTTCTTTTTTCTCTTTGAGTGTGAGCATGTAAAGCTGATGTCAAATGGAGTGCATGTTGTAATAAGTTCCAAATGACCAAAAGGATATGGTATGTAAATATAAATAAATAAATGAGTTAGCAGTCAGTTGTTACTGTTAATTAGTTAGGAAGGGAGTTAGCTTGTTACCGTTAGAAAAAATGATAAGGGAACCTATATAAGAGATCCTAAGTGTAATCAGATGCCATGCTTGAGGAATTATACAGTGCACCATTCAGAAATTCTCTCTCTTTCCCTCTCTGTTTTCTCTATTCCTATAATCTCTTCTCTCTTCTTTCTCTTTCTCGCTCCTCTCTTTCTACCACAACACATCAGGATATGAAATGGAAAACAATGCCAAGCAACAAATTGTTAAAGGTTAATGAAGGGAATTAGGTGATCCACTAGTTAGGAGAATATTCTAACTTATAGACTGTTTAGCTATGATATGTAAATGATATAAATAAAAGAATTAGTTAGTTAGTTAGCTGTTACAGCCTTACAGGGGATAATTCATGAGTTAGCTATTGGTGTTGCTATATATATATCCCTAGTCCAGAGATGTACGTTATTGTTGTTTTCTAATAAGACCAAACCAGTATCACAACAAAACAGCAACCAAATGACAGAAACAACAATAAATGAGGGGAAAATGCTGAGGTTTTTTGACATTAATAGAATGAGAGAAACCAAATCAGAGTTACAAGTCTTCCTCTGATTCTGATCAAAACTCTATCTCCCCTAAATGATCACAAAAGTAACAACAACACAAGTTACAAACCTTACAAAAGAGGGTTCACTCCTTCTGGTGTTCGAGAGGCTAGTCTCTCCTTACTAGTTTCTTACAAAAAACATATCCCCCCTCAATACAAGCAAAAGATTAATACAACACACAGCATGGCTTCCCCATAGCCCATACTGCCCAAAAGATTTTAATCATAGCAGAAGATCACTAGTTACCGTTCCTTACGGCTAGGGACCGAAAGGTAAGTCTCTGGACCAGTCAAACTATTTCTATTAGAATCATTAGCTCCCTTTGACTTCCTCTAGTATGTCTTGGAGAAATAATGGGCTCTATCATTTTCCTAATAATCAAGAATATTATTCACAATTCCTCCTTTGTTCTCTCTCTTTCTCTTCTACTGCCTCTCTTCTTCCTCTCTTCTCTATCTTCTACCTTATCATTTATCAAGTTAGTTAAGCGATGTTAGTGGTCAAGCTTGTAAAACTAGATGTACTTGAGAGTTACTGGTCCCAAAAAAAAAAAGATGCAGTTGAGACTGAGTACTATATATCTGTGCATGTACACTACATGAAAGCAATGAAATACAATCTTACTCTTGTCTTATCTACTATCTTTCTGTTCTGCACGCTTTTGTAATCTTATGGCATCAAACTACCCAACTTTCATGTCTTATTCTTCTCTCTTGCTGCACTTTCTAGAATTTTGTTGATGGTACAATCTCTCCTCCTGAGTAAATGGACCCTGTGTACCCACAAAAAGGAAGAAACAATGTAGTGGGTATCTACTTCACTTTTAGATGGATATAGAGTCTATTTGGAAAACCAATGGTGTGCTTTCTTCTATGGATTCTTGGTCTGATTCAGGAGTGGCTTGCTTAGTCGAATTTCTATCATGTGGAAACTCAAGAGAACATTCAGTAATCTTTAAGGTATTCTGTGTCTTTCTCAATGCTTCTAGCTCTGCTGAAACCTCTCTCATTGTGGGTCTCTTCTTCCCATTCAGTCTCAAGCATCTCTTTGCAAGATTTGCAATGCTAAGAATATCATCTTTCCTTCCTTCATGTACAACTCTAGCATCTACAATCTCAAAAACCTGGCCCTTCTTCATCAAAGAAATGAATTCTGCAACAAGGTTTTGACCTTGGTCTTCTTCTGAGAAGGTAATGGGTTTCCTTCCACAAATGAGCTCCACAAGCACAACCCCAAAGCTATATACATCACTTTTATCTGTGAATTGACTGGATTGGAAGTATTCGGGATCAATACCCAAAAGTGCCTTGTACCACTGTGGTTAAGTGAGTCCTATCGTTTGGGACTGATCTGGAAGTCCCAAAATCAGATACTTTGGCACTGTACTTATGATCTAGGAGTATGTTGGAAGTTTTGATGTCTCTATGGAAGATGGGAATGGAAGCTGAGGAATGCATATAGGCCACGGCCCCAGCAACCTCACTAGCAATTCTAAGGCGGGCATCCCATGAAAGATGTGATTCAAGTTCCTGGTTATGGATGTGGTGAGAAAGGGTACCATTGGGAATATATTCATATACTAATAATGGGGCTTCAGTCTCTAGGCACCAACCGAAGAGTTTGACAATGTTCCTGTGATTTATTTGGGATAGAATCGCTACTTCGTTAGTGAAAGTCTCAATCTGGTTTCTCACCATTTCTTTCGACTTCTTAACTGCGACAATGCTGCCATCTGGTAACATTCCTTTATAAACAGTTCCAAACCCACCTTGACCAAGAAACCTACTTCGATTGTAGTTATCTGTTGCTCGTTCGAGCTCTTCTGCGGTAAAAGTTTTGCTTTCTCTCTATTTTCAATACTTGACATCTTTTCTTGTAGCAAGTGGCCACCGTTTTTCCTGAACAATTTTTCCTTACGAACTCTTTCTTGCTTTAGTTTTAGGCATCGGTATAACTTGTAACCCAAAAGAAATAAGCATAAAAAACCAGCACCAGTACCAACTCCTGCAAGTGCATGAACAAAGTGTTACAGAGTAACTAGATTTTATCCCCACCCATCTAGATGGGGATAAAATTTCTAAACAATGAATAAAAAATATCACTTTTAAGGTAATATCATATGTAGATAGATGTTATGTGTACAACTTCTAAAATACTATTTTGAAACTTCAAAATTTGCTTTTGGATTGAGATTCCAGAAGTTGATGTCTGGACACCTTTGGATGCTCAGGATGATTACTGAATGGAACTTGGCAGATGGATAAGACAACAGCAAGCATGATGAAGGCAAATGTCACTTTAAGGTGAGTGTGACACGATTCTAGACTCAATTTTATCTTTTGCATATTTTGCTGTAACAGGTTGATTGATGTGAGCCTTAATCATGCTATCTAAAAACATCATGAACTAGGGAGGATTTTAAAGAGATTACATAAGGTTTGAACTAATAAATTAATGAATTCTATTGATTTGATCCGTGCTATTCAAGCCAAGAGAAGGTTGTACCGTTGTACTGGAAACAATAATTAGTTTGGACAACTAAGTAATGAATTTGGAACATGGTGCAAGTGGGAGTGTTAGGTAAAACATATCCAAGATTGTCTTCTAATTTGGGTTATTAAATTTTGTGTTTAATTTCATCCAAATTTTAAACTGACAAATTAGAAGAGTGCTACGATCACATAGAAACATAGTGATCAATAGGACCCAAAAAAAAAAAAAAAAAAAGATTACCTAAGGAAGCAACCAATCTGATGGGGAAACGATCAGCATCATTTTGAAGATGAGCACAATAGAGAGTGATGAAACTGGAATTGGAAGGTATTCCTGATAGAAAGAACAGGTGCAGTAGAATGCATGTGGATTGAGTTTGCAAGCGGAGGAATTGAGGGGAACTATAATTGGGCTCAAGGCAGTGATAGTGGCGTTTGAAGGCAACTCATTAGCAGTTAACATACTGTGTTCATCCACACCAAAGGCCTGTGCAACTGACTCAGGCGATTCCCCATCCTTGAGGGTATCAACTAGTAGGAATGAGACCCCGTCTGAGGTCTGGTTATCAGTGGGACAAGCACATAATACTGGGACTGTAATCTGGTCTCCGATGGAGAGATTGGTGGGGGCGTAATAATTTTGACGTACTGTCATCTGGCAATTGGCTAGGCCTTGATAAACAGAGCTGACCACTTCATAAATCGTGTCGCCTTTCCTAATGGTGAAAGAAGCGGCATGCTGGTAGATATTGCCGGAACATGAACAATAGATTGGTACAATCACGTTTTGATTGGAAGAAATGTTGTTAATGCTTGAGATGTTGTTGATGGAGGCTATAGAAGATGCTTGGGAGCCAAGAAGATTGGCAATGCTTAGAGGAGTGTTATAGGGAGGTTGGGATCTGAAAGCTACGAAGGAGGTGCATGGTTGGAGGCCACAGACATATCCTACTCTTGAGGTGTCGTTGTAAGAACAGTCATCTATAGTGTAGTTGAGGTATTGTTGTTGGCAGCAACATTGAGAAAGCACAGACAGGAGCAGAAGAATGTAAAATGGAGCAAGTTTCATGTCTGAAAATGAGAGATGAGTAATGAGTTCCACAATATTAGCACTATACTGCAACCGATATGTTTATGCGTGTGGCAGATGCATAAAGTTCAATGTTGACGTGTATTTAAGTTGAGTTGAAGGCGGGTACTTTGAAAGATTTTTCATATATACATTAGCACCATTTCTGCTGAGAATGACAATAAAGTTCCAAAAGTGAAAATTTATAATAATTAGGTTCTTGATAAGATTTTCTTGAAAATAAGTTACAGATATTGATTTGAACTATTACTCAAAAAAATTCTAATTACAATTTGATAGTTACATTTATAATTTAAATATCTTATTTATAATTGAAAATATTAAAATTGTAATTGTTTTGAATTAATATTTACAAGTTATTTTTATTTTTTATAGAAAATTTTATCGAGGATCTTTATTGTCATTAATTTTTCCATGGGGACTTAATTGCCATTCTCTCCATTGTCTTTGTCATTGATAGTTGAAGTCATTTTCCTAATGATCATAGAAAAGGCGTTACACTTCCTATCAAAAAAGGAAATTAAGGTACGCTTCTTGGAAGCAAAAGTCATGGCCGCCAGATATTACCTTATAAAAGATGTGGAAACTAAAATATTGACTTTTGACATTCACATCTTAATTTACATGGATCCCTGGATTCTAACTTCTTTGATTTTGGGATGATGTTGATACATATGAATTTAGATTTGGGCCAAATACTTGTTTGGGAACTTATGTGTTATGAATTTGAAATATATGAATTTTAAAATTGAAATATACGGTTTGATTGAAAGAAATGTTTGAGTACTGTTTGACATGTTGATGTAGGCCATGCAAAGTTCATTGGTGCCAAGAAGATTGGCAATGCTTACATAACGGTGTCATAAGGAGGTCTTGATTATCTGAATGTCACAAAGGAGATGCATGAACTTTCATGGCTGCCACAGACACATCTGGCATTTTCTGTGAGTTTGAAGATCGGCAGTCATAGACGGTGATGTGAAGGTATTTTTGGTGGCAGCAACAATGGACTAATTGATGAGAAAGCAGAGACAGGAGCAGAATGTAGAAGGAAGGTTGCTTTAGGTCTTTACTTGCGTGGCTTAAGTTAGTTTGAAAAGGAATGGAATTCAAAGATTACGCTGTGAATGACTTTTCATATAGGACGGCTAACAAATTCAACTATCAAGCAGGAGAAATATTATGTTTTGAATATTTCATCACACTGATTTGGATTTAAATTTTCAAGACCCTTTTTCTTTTTTTTTTTAGGAAAACAAAAAATGGACACATCTTAGAACTATGTTTGTTTCCTTTTTTCATATTGCTTATAAATATTTTCTTATTATAGACAATTTTATTTGATATATGATTAGACATTAAAAATAAACACTTTTTCTAACAGAGATTTGAATTTCAATTCATCACAGGACTATTTTTTTTTTTTTGTGGTTAAAGCACATTACATTTAACTTTAGTAAACTACTTTACCAATTACTATATAATATAAGCCATTACTATTAATTACTGATATCCATCGTTATTGACCAATTTTTTAACTCAAGTTGTTTTCAAATTAACTTAATCAAGCATTTTTTTTTGAAAAACAATATTTTAAAACTAATGTACAAAATAATTTTAAAAAAATGTAAACAAAACTAAGCCTGTAAATTATAATTTATTTTTTTTTAAGTAAGAGTTTAGGCATCACTATTTCCTTTCAGAATAAAAAGGTAGAGTTGAAAGTGATACAGAAATTATCTTCGCGATAGTTATCCTCAAATAAATCCAATAGTGCTTAAATATGATACAATCAGATAGTCATACAAAAAAATTGAAATTAATAGAAGAAATTTCCTAGCAAATGAACTCAAGTAATGTCGGAAGAGTTTGGATATCATGTCAGTGTCTTCCTTGAAAAACACTTAACGTTTCACATTACACGACAACCATAGCCTAATATTTTTCTCCAAATTAAAGCCATGCTCATATAATTAGTCATAGAGCCGTCTCGATCACTTTGAAATAAGAAATACAATTTCTTGTGACTCAACCGAAATATCAATAGCAATTTTGTCATGCCAACGGCCAGTTGGTTCTAGAAAAAATTAAAGGACAAGGTTCTTCTTAATTGTGATAAATTGGGCTTAGATCCATATATATATATATATATATATGTCTTCCAAAGAGATACGATTGTATAAAGGATTGAACGGGACTGAACTTTTGTCTAATCTTAAGTCTTGTCTTTTATAAAAAGGAGCAGATTAGGCAACTTATAGTTCTATCTGATCCAATGGTAACTCAAAAATTAACAGCACCAGACTTGATTCATAAGACTGTAAAACTAATCCTATTAGTTTAGTATTCACTTAGCTTTTTCTTTTTCCCTTTTCGTCTATGAAAGCAATAATCTATTTTAATGTAATAAACTTAATTAAAATAATAAAGAAAACTTATAATCATAATAAATTCATAATAATTTTCAACAACAAAAAAAATATTTCAGTTACAGTTCAAGTGGTCTAAATTATTAAATTATTAGTCTGAGCATACTATCGTACAAGGAATTAGACTTATTAAATTATCAACTCTAACTTGGTTGGTTTAGAAAGGGAGAGGAAGGAAAATAATATTACCCAAACTATAATACTTACTATTGTAATTAATTTTTATTGTTAAGATAACATTTTCATTTCTATAATCAAACAAATATAATATATTATTAGTAAAAATTCTTGAAATGATATCACGTGCTAACAAAAAAGAATCAAAGATTTAAATATAGAGTTTCTTATTGAAAATGAAAAACATATTACATCATTGCATAGAATACAAGTAATATCTATTCAAAGCTTGCAACTTATCTAAAAACCTTGATAAATCACATTCATAAAATTTTAGAGAAAGAAAGAGTAAATAGAATATAAAAAAAGTAAGAGTAGAATCTGATTGGAATAAGGATTGAGCTAATAGCATGAACTGAGATCTCACACAATACTGATAATAAATTTTATAGTCAATCCCAATAGCTATAGCTGAGACAATTCTTATGAGATTTTCATTTTTCTTATGAGATTGTGTGATAGTAATTTAGTGAGAGCTTTTGTCACTTTTTTTTATAAATTATTTTACGATCAAAGTTGAAATAACAAATTTTATAAAATTATATAATTATTATAACCTCTCCTTCAAATTTTCCCACTTTTAAAGTGGAAGGGAAAAGAAAGGAAAGGAAAAATTTATTAAAATTGCCCCTCCCCTCCCCCACTAAATCCCTTCAATTAAACTATATGCTTACCTTATTTTTTTTATTCATAAGATAAAATTTAGAGTAGATAAAAAATCAAAAAACTTATTTTTAACATAAAAATAAAATTAATTAAAAAACAAATAAAAAATATTTAAAAAATTTAGATATTTGAACTAGCTTGAAACCTGAAATATTTGAACCGCCCTTGGCTATATCATTTTTTTTTTTAATAAAGTTAATGTATAAGAGAAATTTAACGGAATGTACTCAAGTAAAATAGGCAAGGGAAATATTAAAAATTAACAAAAACAAAGATTAGATGCCACGCAAGCACGCCACATCCTCACATGGTCCCAGGCGGTAAAGCCCTGACGCAGCAGGTGACTTCGAACGAGGCAGGTGGGAGGTGCGGCGGAGGCGAATGGGCGACGAGGCTTCAACGGTGAGTGACGCCGTTGAACGACACAGAGGTTAGGTGCTATTTGATTTCGTTATCAGCCCGTTGGTGAAGAAGTTACTGACGTTGATCTCCAAAAAAAAAAAAAAAACCATCTTTCAAAAGTACCAAATGACCCCAGGTTAGGGTATTTACGATTCCTTCTAAATACTCAATTGGTTGAAATCCTAGCCTCTTAGCTATTTCTGTGAGATTGTCGACTTGTGTCATATCCACCTGTCAAGCGAATCTATGGTGAAAGTGGACGGTAGACCATTGATAAACTCGTGCATGATTTCTTGCTGGTTCGATTGGGGTTTTCCATTAGCGAGCACTGGAAAAAACTTGCCTAAATCATTGTGTATTCTAATTCATATTTAGTAGTTGGTTTTTTATTTTTTTTTTATGTATAATATATAGACAACTAGATTCATAGTTTCATGCAGCTTTCCTTTTGAAGAGATGAAATTTGGTATACAGATGCTGCACCTTACTAGATTGACATTGTATTTGTCATGATAGTAATTAATACCATCTCAGCAAGTACTTTGCCTATTTTATGTTTCCCTTAACGCCACCATGTGGAGGAGTCAGGGATGAATTATTATAGTTTCTTAAATAATAGAGACTAACTAGCCAACTGGAGATAATTATAGAGACTAAATTATATGGTTTTGAATTATAAGGACCTGTTCCATAAAAGTTATACATTACACGGACCTATTAACTGATTTTCCCAGCTTATGTCATTAGGATGTCATAATGCTTAACCACAATTTATAGTAACCATAGTTATGACAATGATCTAACCATGATTAACATGATTGTTGTTAGGACTCCGGGTAGGAGTTTGTTTTCGTATAGTTGATGTAAAAGGGAAAATGAACCTTCCATTATGAATGCCAAATCACAAATTGGTCAAGAATAATGGAAGCAAATATTTGACCCACTAGTTAGTGAGATTGTTAGGAGATTTTTTTTCTTTTAACTTACACACTGTTGAGTTTGTTAAGGGATGTTGGTGGTCAAGCATTGCAAAGCTAGAATTAGTTGAGACTGTTTACTAAATATCTGAGCATGTACTCTACATGAAAGCAATGAAATACAATCTTGCTTTTCACTCATCTCCTTTCAAAAAAAACAAAGAAAAAGAAAACTTTCCTGTTTCTTCTTTCTTGCTGCACTTTCTTGAAGTTTGTCAGTGGCATGATCTACATGGAATGCTCAAGAAACTAAAACAAAGAGTGCTGTGGGAGTCTGCATCACTTTTGGATGGATGTTGACATTGTTGAGTCTGTTTCGAAAAACAATGGCATGCTTTCTTCTGTGGATTCTTGGTCAGACTCAGGAGTGGCATGCTTAGCCAATTTTCTATCGTGTGGAAACTCAAGAGAACATTCAGTGATCTTTAAGGTATTTTGTGTCTTCCTCAGTGCCTCTAGCTCTGTTGAAACCTCTCTCATTGTGGGTCTCTTCTTCCATTGAGTTTCAAGCATCTCAATGCAAGATTTGCAATCCCAAGAAGATCTTCTTTCTTTCCTTCACGAACAACTCTAGCATCTAAAATCTCAAAAACTTGATCCTTCTTCATCAAAGAAATGAATTCTGCAACAAGGTTTTGACCCTGATTTTCTTCTGAGAAGGTAATGGGTTTCCTTCCGGTAATGAGCTCCACACGCACAACCCCAAAGCTATATACATCACTTTTATCTGTGAATTGACTAGATTGGAAGTATTCAGGATCAATGTACCCAAAAGTGCCTTGTACTACTGTGGTTAAGTGAGTTTGATCATTCGGGACTGATCTGGAAGTGCCAAAATCAGACACTTTCACATTGAAATTATGATCTAGGAGTATGTTAGAAGTTTTGATGTCTCTATGGAAGATGGGAATAGAAGCTGCAGAATGCATATAGGCCACTGCCCCAGCAACCTCACAAGCAATTCTAAGGCGGGCTGCCCATGAAAGATATTTTTCAAGTTCATGGTTATGGATATGGTGAGAAAGGGTTCTGTTCGGGATAAATTCATAAACTAATAGTGGGGCTTCAGTCTCCAGACAGCAACCTAAAAGTTTGACGATGTTCCTATGGTTTATTTGGGATAAAATGACCACTTCATTAATGAAAGTCTCAATCTGGTTTCTCACAATTTCTTTTGATTTCTTAACTGCAACAATGCTACCATCTAGTAACATTCCTTTATAGACAGTTCCAAACCCACCTTGACCAAGAAACCTACTTTGATTGTAGTTATCTGTTGCTTTTTCCAGCTCTTCTGCGGTGAAATGTTTTTCTTTCTCTCTTCTTCCGTAACTTGATATCTTTTCCTGTAGTAAGAGACCACCATTTTGCCTGAACAGTTTTTCCTTTCGAACTCTTTCTCGCTTCTGTTTCAGCCATTGATGTAACTTGTAACCCAAAATAAATAGGGTTAAAAAACCAGCACCAGCACCAACACCTGGAAGCATGTGTAAAGTGTTATGGACTAACTAGGTATTGCCCCACTTATATACTTGGGGATAAAATTCTCCAACCATGCACACAAATCAAGTGAAATATGAAATGTCCAATGCACCATGTTTCAAATATGTGCACGCGTGCGTGCGTGTGTATTTGCAGACAATAGATATCAATAGCATGAATGGAGCTGTGCATTTGGTGATCTGCCCATAGTATCATCAACCATGGTTGAAAACAAAAGTTCATGAATTCTATTGCTCTGATCTGCTATTCGAACAAATAGGAGAGAACGTTGTATTGGAGAAACAAAAATTATTTTGGACAATTATGTACTTGGAACATGGTCTTAGTGGGAGTGTTGGATGCTTGGGATAATTACTGAAAGGTGATTTCTCATAAGCACGTGCAATAACAAATTTCTTGGCGGGCTAGACCGCTAGGTTGACCCCAAAAAAAAAAATTGCAGGATGAAAAATAACCATTAGGAGAATGTGATCTGTACAGTAACAAATATTTTTGTATGACAGTCGTAATTATGCTGTCTAAGAACATACTGAGCTAGGGAGGATGATTACCTACGGAAGCAACCAATTTTACGGGGAAACGATGGGCATCATTTTGAAGATAATCACAATCAGGAGTGTTGAAACTTTCTGGACGGTATCTCTGGTAGAATGAACAAGTGCAGTAAAATAAATGTGGATTGAGTTTGCAAGCAGTGGGTTTGAGGGGAACTAAAATAGGGGTGAAGGCATAGATAGTGGCATTTGAAGGCAACTCATTAGCAGCTAGCAGACTCTGTTGATTCACACCATAGGCCTCCGCGACTGACTGTATTGTATCCCCATGTTCAAGGGTGTGAACTAGCAAGTGGGAGACCCCATCTGAGATTTGTTCATCAGTGGGACAAGCACATAACACTGGAATTGTAATCTGGGCACCCACAGCAAGATTTTCTGGGGTGTAATAATTTTGACGTAGTAACATCTGGCAACTAGCAAGGCCTTGAAAAGTGCTTCTGACCATGTTACTGAAGGTGTCATTTGGTTGTATGGTGTAACTAGTGGCATCCTGGTAGATATTGCCTGAACATTGACAACTTATAGGAACAATCACGGCTTGATTGGAAGGAATAATGTTGTGGGTACTGCTTGAGATGTTGTTGATGGATACTATGGAAAGTTCATCGGTGCCAAGAAGATTGGCAATGCTTAGAGTGGTGTTGTAAGGAGATCTTGATCTGAATGTTGCGAACGAGGCGCAAGAACTTCGTCGGCCGCCGCATTCATATCCGGCATTTAGTGTGAAGTTGGAAGATCTGCAGTCATAGATGGTGTTGTTAAGGTATTCTTGTTGGCAGCAACAATGGAGTAATTGAGAAAGCAGAGACGAGAGCAGAATGTAAAAGGAATAAGGATGCTTCATGTCTTCAGTTGAGAGATGAGCTTCTTTGGTATTTAATTCTGTTGTGTGCGTGTGTGTGGGCTGTCATGGATGGTGTTGTTAAGGTATTTAATTCTGTTGATAGATGAGTTTCAAATTCAATGTTACAGGAATAAAATTAAAAGGATTTAAATGTCAATGGCTTTGCAAATAAGACGGGTTAACCGATTTTATTGACAACTCAACTGACAGAGCGGAGAGAAGTCACGTTGTGATGATAATTTCATTACGTCTGTCATTCCTTTGACTTTGTGGCTGCTTCAGTGTTTGTGGATTTTGTATTTTTACGTGTCTGTTTGACTGGTCAATGTTGACCAGTAGCTGGTTAACAGCTGCTGGCCACCTGTCAATGCGGGCTGATCATTGATCAGTTAGTCAAAGCCATGCAGTTCGTATTAAATTATAAAACGTTTTAATAAAAATAAGAAATAATTAATAATATTTTTTTAATATTATTCTTTTCATTATATATTTTTTTATAATATTCTTTTATAAATAGAGTATTAAATAAAGGACATTTTTAAAAATTTATTTTTTATTTTAAAAAATGGATGTAAAGTGTATTAGTGAGTTTTATTAATATATGTGATTTTGTTTAATATTATCTTATAAATAGGATGAAGTAGTATTTGGATTTTTTTTTTGACAAGAAAAGATAATTACAACCAAATCCTATGAAATTATAGAGTTTTTTTTTTTTTACAATCACGAGCTTTATTTATTAATAAATTTTTTGAAATATAAATGTAGTTTTTTCTTTATATTTTCCAGTATCTGTTTGTAATTTTCCTACGTATTTTCCACGATTTAGCAGCGGTGAAACTTATCATTAATATTAATATTACTTTCAGAGTGTGTATTTATGTGTAAGAGTTCATTTCATCACACTAGCAAGTCATTCTATATTGATTGTTGAAAAATTATCAATGTCAATTTTTTTAGTCGCGAAAAAAATTAAGATATATGCTTCTTCAAAATTGTTTCTCATTATATTTATACAACTTACAAATGAATTGTTACTTTAATAATATAATTTATAAGTTATTTTCAATTTTTTCTTAAAATGGTTAATGATAATTATGGATCCTAAATTATTACCCAAATAGAATTATGGACCTTGAACTTTTAAAATGAACAAAAACTCCTCTTAATTTATAAATTCCAAGCAAATGAATTACCATCCATTGTTTATCTGTGCAATGTTGATCATTATGCAGCCCAGTTGGCATGCCACATGTAAAGATGGGATTAGTGCCACATTAGTCTTAGATTGAGCCCCCAAAGTTAAAAGTAACAGCAGTTAAATGTAAATTAACAGTAGGGATAATTTGCATAAAATTATAAATTTAGAAATGTTTTTGCTCATTTTAAGAGTTCATAATTCAAGATACTATTTAAATAATACTTTAAGGTTCAGGATGTTCATTAATGATTCTTAAAAAGATTTATGAGTATTTGTATATGTTTTTAAAGCATATATGTTTTTTACTGTTATAAAGCATCACTGTTATAATTTATGAGTATTTGTATATATTTTTACTACTAGAAGCTCAAATGTCATGGAAATAGATTCTCCTTTACCCAAAAGAAATTGCAGGTAAGTTTATGATGGATCATGTGGACAACTGTTATACAAAAAGAAATTGCAAGTAAGCTTTTGAAATGTCCTTTGATATTGATATTAATTTATATTGAACTATTTATATAATTTTTATTCAACATATTAAACTTTATAACTTTTATCCTTATTACTTAACGCATAAAATTTTATGTTATTTAAAATTGTTATCACATACATTTTTTTAAACATTTCAAACATATTTAGGAGAGATATTCTTAATCAGGCTTGATTAGTCATATTATAAAAAGAATCAAAAGTAATTGAAGAAATTTCATACAAAATGAACACATGTAATGTTGGAAGAATTTGGATTTCAAGCTAGTGTCTTCAAAACACTTGAAGTTTCACATGACACAGCAACAATAGCCAAGTAATTTTTTTCCCCCAAGTCATGCCAACTTATAGTTATAGAGCCGCCTTATTTTAAAAGGTAAGGATGATTCTATGCAACTACCTTAAATTTTAAAGGAGTTTTATATATTTTTAGCTAAAACAAAAAAGAAAACAATAATCCTGTGCGGCCGATGTAGGATGCACTTTTAATTACTGCCACTTTCATATTTCCAATTAGGGAGTAGTATTCATGAGACTGATGTGTTACTAACATGAAGTTAGTAACGATAAGGATTATAGAAATGATTATTTCACTGCCTTATATTTTAGGTTTTTATTTTTAACATAAGAGATTTTCACAACTGCCCCTAAGCCTTTGGGAATATATTAATTTGATTTGTACCTTGTGGAGGACATGAAGCTTTGCAAGTTCAATTAATATCTTATTAGAATTGTTACAGTTCAAAAGCAAGCCAAATACAACCCCCCCCAAAAAAAATATTTCAGCTTTTTTTTTTTTCCTAAACACAAGGCCACGATATAGCCATACAAAAGAGATAAAATCAAATCATGTCTAAAACCATAAGGTTTCTATAATCAGACAAAGAATTATCAAGAATCCTAATGTCTAAGTTGTTCCAAGAAGACTGACGGTCCAGTAAATTGGCACATCTGTTAGCTTCTCTATAAACATGATCAAAAGTGATCACCCAATACTTCATGATGATATTTCTAATATTCTTGATGATGTCAAAAAATGGGTGTCCTTCAAAAAAGTTGTGCTCAATTAGTGATATGGCTTTCATAGAATCTGAATAGACACTGACTTTGTGAAGTTTAGCGTTCCAACAAAAATTGAGACCTTCAAGAATCCGCATGAGTTCAATTGTCGTGTTAGGATAAAAACTCAAGTATTTGGAGAATCCTTTAATCCAATTACTTTTATCATCCCTAATGATACCTTTGCAGGTGGCAACACCATTGATCATATTTCAACTTTTGAAGTGATAGTTCTGAGGATCATGATATGCAGTCGTATTTTGTTTGACGTGTTTAATATTCATATCATGTAACACTTTGAATTATATTTAGAAGTGTTTTAAGTAGGAAAAAAAAATAAAGGACATTAAATAAATAGATGATTGTTTCTTCATATGACAGACAAAATGCCCATTTATATGCTATTCTAACTCTGATTATAAATAAACTGTCATTAGGATGTCTTAAACACAATTATAATAACCATATTTATGACCTTGATCTAACCATGATTAACAAAATAGACATAAGGACACTTTGGCTAGGCGTCTGTTTTGTAGTGTGGGCATGTAAAGTTAATGTTAGAAGTGCATGTGGTAATATATATATACATATATGCATATAGAAAGAGAGAGAGTGAGTCTCTTCAGTCCTAGTTATATATCAAAGTTTTAAAACTTTACTTGGTTCTAAATATAGAGCAAAGATGTGGTAGTTAAATTTTTTTCCCAACCTTACCCCTCGTTAATCGCAACAAGCTGTTAACATACTTTTAATTTCTATACAACATTTTATTATGGTTATTGGCCAAAATTAGAAAATCACATGTTCTTCTACAAATTTAAGTTATCAACTACCATTTCTTAGAAATTATGAAATTAGTTAACCTTATCTTATAATCAGGACCTTAAAAAAAAAACACACACACACACACACGTTCTAGGTTTTGGAATCAAAATGGGAAGCCAATACCATTATCATCATCAAGCACCTTAGAGCAACAAAAGGGTCGATGATCATAGGCACATTAATCAAATTCATTTACATGAGTTAATCTAGTTAATCTATTTGCACATTCTATGGCATCTTTGAAAGCAAAATTAATAGAGCTAACAGACTCATTAAGAAAAAGCAACTTGTTTTCCTTGATTATTTCACTAAAAGGATGATCCCTGCAGATATGAATCCAGCTTTCAAGTCAGCAATGGTTGGTGGAACTTGATCAGTCTTAAAACAGAACCCCAGGACCCATTATTAATTACAGCCATAAATATCTAACCCAAGGCAATCACGTGGAATGAAAAATTAAATGGCCTTCCATAATGAATGCAAGCCACAAATTGCTGAAGATTAACGGAGGGAATTAGTTTATGCATGAGTTAGATAGGGATGTTAATGGTCAAACATTGTAAACCTAAAATTAGTTGGGACCATGAACTACGTATTTGAGCATGCACACTACATGAAAGCAATGATGTATATATACAATCTTACATTTTTCTCATCTTCTATCTTTCTGTTCTGCATGTTTTTGTCCTGACATGGTATCAAAGCAACTGACTTTATCCCTGGATCTCATTTCTTGCCACATCTTCTTGAAGTTTGTGTTGTGGGCACAAGTCCAAAGGAAAAGTCTATCCTAAAAGACTAGCCTATTAGGTGGGAAAGTCCCTGATCATACTTATAAACCTCACTCAACTTGTTGTGCTTCCCGACGTGTACAGTTTGTCCATGGCACAATCTCTCCTGCTAAGTATATGGACCTTATGTACACAAAGGAACAAAGAATATTGCAGGTGCCTGCTTCACTTTCAGATGGATGTGGAGTCCATCTGGAGAAATAATGACATGCTTTCTTCTGTGGATTCTTGGATTGTTTCAAAAGAAGAGGTCGTGTCATTATCATTTTGAAACTCAATAGAACATTCAGCAATCTCTAAGGAATCTTGTGTCATTCTCAGTGCTTCTAGCTCTGCTGAAACCACTCTCATTGTGGGTCTCTTCCTCCTATTGAGTCTCAAGCATCTCATTGCAAGATTTGCAATGCTAAGAATATCATCCTTCCTTCCTTCACTAACAACTCTAGCATCTAAAATCTTGAAAACTTGGTCATTATTCCTCATCAAAGAAATGAATTCTGCAACAAGGTTCTGTCCCTCAGCTTGTTCTGAGAAGGGTTTTCTTCCAGTAATGAGTTCTACAAGTACAACCCCAAAACTATATACATCGCTTTTATCTGTGAATTGGCTGGATTGGAAGTATACAGGATCAATGTACCCAAAAGTTCCTTGTACTGCTGTTGTTAAGTGAGTCCTATCTTGGGGAACTGATCTGGAAGACCCAAAATCAGACACTTTGGCGTTGTAATTATGATCCAAGAGTATGTTGGAAGTTTTTATGTCTCTATGGAAGATGGGAATGGAAGCTGCAAAATGCATATATGCAACTGCCCCGGCAACCTCGCAAGCGATTCTAAGCGGTTTTCCCATGAAAGGTTTGATTTAAATTCTCGGTCATGGATATGGTAAGAAAGTGTTCCATTGGGAATAAATTCATAAACTAATAATGGAGCTTCAGTCTCAAGGCAACAACCCAAGAGTTTGACAATGTTCCTATGGTTTATTTGGGATAGAATCACCACTTCATTAACAAAAGTCTCAATCTGGTTTCTCACTATTTCTCTTGACTTCTTGACTGCAACAATGGTACCATCTGGTAACATTCCTTTGTAAACAGTTCCATACCCACCTTGACCAAGAAACCTACTTTGATTGTAATTATCTGTTGCTCGTTTCAGTTCTTCTGCTGTAAAAAGTTTTGCTTTGTCTCTGTTTCCATAATGTGACATCTTTTCTTGCAGCAATAGACCTCCATTTTGCCTAAACAATTTTTCCTTGAGAACTCTTTCTTTCTTTTTTTTAAGCCATTCATGTAACTTGTAACCCAAAAGAAATAAGCACAAAAAGCCTGCACCAGTACCAACACCTGCAAGTCCAAGAATTAAGTGTAACAGAGTTTTTCTATATTTGCGGACAAGAGATCATACATGCTTGAACGCATAAATTTACGAAATCTACTGATTTGATCAGCCATTCAAGTAAGGAGGATAATAGCTTGTTTGGACAACTAACTTGTGTACTTGGCACATATCTATTTATTATAAAAATAAAAAGGCTCATAGATTAGACAGATAATATACAGATAGAAATTATGTGCATGCAACACATCTCTTTTTGCATATTATGTTATTATATTGATGTGAGTCATAATCATGTTTATCTAAGAACATATCTATCAAGGTAGGATTGACAAGAGAGATTTACCTATGGAAGCAACCAATCTGAGTGGAAAATGATGAGAATCAGGTTGAAGATGACCACAATTGAGAGCGTTGGAACTTGAATTTGGAAGGTAAATCTGAGAGAATGAACAGGTACAGAAGAACATACTTGAGTTGAGTTTACAAGAGGAGGGTTTAAGGGGAACTAAAAGAGGGGTCAAAGGAGAGATAGTGGCATTTGAAGACAATTCATTAGCAATTATCAGACTGTGTTGATCCACACCATAGGTCTCTGCAACTGACTCAAGTGAATCTCCATAGTCAAGGGTATGAACCAGCAAGGAGGAGACCCATCTGAGATCTGTTTTGCTGTGGGACAAGTACACAACATAGGAACTGTAACTTGAGCACCAACACTGATATTGACAGGAAGGTAATAATTCTGACGTACTAACATCTGACAATTAACAAGGCCTTGATAAGTCTTGTTGGCCAATTTGAAGTAGTAATCTCCTCTTTTCATGTCATAAGAAGTGGCATGCTGGTAGATATTGCCTGAACATGAACAATAGACCGGAACAATCACGGTTCGATTGGAAGCAATGTTGTTGCTGCTGCTTGAGATGTTGTTGATGGAGGCTATGGAAGATGCTTCAGAGCCAAGAAGATTGGCAATGCTTAGGGGGGTGTCATAAGGAGGTCTTGATCTGAAAGTTACAAAGGAAGTGCATGACTTTTGGAGGCCATTGCAGACATATCCTGCAGTTGTTGTGAGGTTGAAAGAGCAATCGTAGACAGTGTTGTTAAGATATTCTTGTTGGCAGAAACAATGAAGTGTTGCAGAAAGCACAGATAGTAGCAGAATGTAAAATGAATGAAGCTTCATGTCTTTAGA